ATTTTACTTAGAAAATATATAGCTAAAATTAATATATAAGTTTTTATTAAAAAATTAAACTTTTTAATAAAAACACAAGCAAATTTGCCTGTGTTACAATTTAAGGGATATATATATATATTTATATAAAATTCTATTATTTTTAATTTATAATTTATTAATTATTTAGCATTAATATATGTATATGTATTTACAAATATCACAAATTTTATAATATATGAACAAATGTTTAATGCATTATTTAATTGGATTTATCAATTAACTAATTCTTATCCAAAAATTTTTCATATTGACGGAATTGAATAGAAATGTATTCTCAGAGATTTAGATCAAGCTCAGGCTAAAGGTTTAGGACTTGCACTTAATAAACTTTATCCAAATCTTACCTGGAAAGAACATTTGCTTCATATTTTTAAAAGTTGTAAAGTTCACTATAATAGATAATAAATTTATTAAAATTATTTAACTAGAATTTAATTATATTAATTTTATAAATTTGTATTATTTTAATTTTAGAAATATTAAAAATAATGTATATCCAAATCATATTAAACAATTAATATATGAATATCCAAATGTTGATACAATTGAAAGAGTTGAGGAAATTATTCAAACATTAAAAGAATCTAATGAACCAAATATTAATAGTTAATATTAATTCATTTAATAGTAATATATACAAAATTATTATATAATTTAATTTTTTAATTTTTGAATATTTTTAGATTGGATTACATTTTATTCAATTCCTTGGATATGTGGTTCATTAAATTATTTATATTCTTTCATTAGTAATGATATTTGGTATAAAGCCCCAGATAATACAAATGTTGCTGAGGCTTGTTATTCAAATGTAAATCAGGATAGTAAAACTTTAACACTAGAAAATGCAATTTAATGTAAGTAAATTAAATTTTTATATTTTATTATTACTATATAAATTAATTAAAATTATTACTTTAATTAGAGCTAAACGATATGACAATTGAAATTTTATTACATGCAATATTCAAAAAAAATATGGAGTTCGAAAAACTGGAAAAAATCTTGGAGTAGTAGCATGTGAAAAACAAGCTATTCGCAAATTAAGTAAATTTTATTTTTTTATTAAATAATAATCTAATACTAAATATTAAATTAAATATTATTTATTTTTTTGTAGCAAAAAAAAGAACACATTCTGTTAATAAAGCTGAATTATCTTCTAAATCAAGACAAACAAAAAAAAATTAAAAAAATTAAAAATTCTCAAGATTTAACAGATGCATTTGCTGAATTTGATTTAGAAAAAAAAGAAAAAGTTCTTTTTTTAAAAGAAAAAAAAATAGAATTAGAAGAACGTGAGTTGAAACTTGAAAAAGAAAAATTAGAAATTCTTAAACTTAAACGAGAATTAGTTCTTAAAGTATAACACTTGTAAACATATAGCTAATTAATAAAAAATGCGAAATTGAATATTATAAAATAAAAATCTTTAATTTTTATTATTAAATAAAAAATTATTGCATTATATATATAATACACAATATCAAATAAATATTTAATTTAATATAAAATAATATATTAGTTTATAGCAATAAAAAAATGTGAATTTGAATTTGTTAACTAATTTATAGTATCTTTATACTCTGCTTAAATAACCGCTACAACTATTCACTTAGAATAATATTATGTTAACTTTGAATCTATATTCACTTACTGCTAAAAAATGGCCTGAAATATTTTGAGTAAAGGTAAAATAAAATGCTTTTAATAAATTTATTATTTAAAAAGTGTAGAATCAGATATATAACTTAATGGTTAAGTTCTAATATACATGCATATTTATATGTGTGTACATAGTATGTTTTGAGAATCAAATAAATTATATAAGATAATACAATGTGAGTAAAAGCGATTTGTAGTAAGAAAGTATAGATTAAATAATAAAGATATAAAAATATATATTGCTGCATATTGTTAAAAAATAAAAATTTCACTAATTTTTATTATTATTAGATTCCTGGTTTATTATAATCTGGTTATGGGCTTTTTAGAGACTGATCCGTCATTATAAATTAGTTGTTACATGTATTTAATTGATTTATTTAATAAATTGTATTATGTTATAATTTATTAATATTATAGTTAATTAATATTTATTAAGTAGACAATCGTATTTAATTGTATTCAATCATATTCAACTCAGAAAAGCTCAGAATTATTTGTGTACTCAACAAAAATTATTAATATACTCAACTCAGCAAATTGTGTAGACTCTATTGTAAATCAGATAACCTGAGGTAAGTTGCTATTATGAACTATTTGTAGCCAAACTATATTGAGGTTTGTTACTATGCTTATACCTACTTGTTGGAGCAATTAAATAAGTTTGCAAGTAGTAGTGTATTTGTTAGATCTATCAATATAGAGCAAAGAGTGTTGGAATAAGCTAGTAGTTAAGCAGAGTTTATTTTGTAATTGTTGAAGTCTTATATGAGTAGTAATTCTAAGAATAGAGTTGTTATTAATTTTTAGAAAAAGTTGTTAATATAGTGCTAGAGCTATATTTCTCAGATATTGTAAATATTATATATATTGTAGTTGAGTATTGTAGGGCTATATTGTATGCATTACATATGTTTTAATAAATTGTCGGGTAGAGCTATCGACAAAGTTGTTTTTCCATGATAAAGTAAAATAGTAGTTGTAGGGGTTAGTGTAGTTAAATAGTAACAGAGGAGAGCTTGAATGGTTATTGGCAAGTATATCTGCAAGATTATTGAAGGTATTGTCAGAGTGGGCCTGAACTTTGTAAAGAGAGAGTTGGATATTAAAAGCTTTTAGAATGTTAAGAAGTGTATGCCAGAT